ACATGCTTTTAGGAACATAAAACAAAAAAAGTCCTGATTTAGATTAGGCGAGTTTACTTGCGGCAATTTTTATCGTTCTCTTTTGAACTTGCTTCATGCGTCTATACAAAGCAATTCACTTTTTTTTTTTGATATTTTGTGCATTTTTTATTTTCGAAAATTTTCTGGATTGGTATTTCAAATTACTGCCACTACAAACACAATACACAAAACGAATTGCCATAAATTGCCGGTACGAGCAATTTATTTCCATTTCTATTCCCCTTGCCCCTTTTTCCAGCAAACAAAGTTTTGCCGCAAGTAAACTCGCCCAATCTAAATTGGGACAAACACAGTCGGCAAGTTCTGAATTATAATCTAAAGATGAGTTCAAAAAAAATTTAACATATGATGTTATTGGTGTATTTACAGTAATAATGCACAACATAACCCATATGTTGTGATTCGAATATTAATTAAAGATATTTGATTGGTTGAAATACCAACACAGTTTTCTTTGTACAACTCTTGTTTTCAGCTAGTGTAAACAAAAAAAAAAAAAATTAAAATATGTAAATTAAACATGACAGCAACTATTGAAAATCCAAGTTCCAGCTATAAATAGAGTAGGTCATTTCCGAAAACGGTTTCAGATATTCTTGTGTTCTCACAATAATCGCAACAAATCAAATCTTATCAATATGTTCAAATTCGTAAGTTTAAACTTTTGGAAAATTTATTCGAATGAAATTTGATAAATATATTCATCTTTTGTAGGCCGTTGTTATCTTCGCCATGATTGCCTGTGCTGCTGCCAAGCCAGGTTTAGTTACTCCTTTGGCTTACACTGCACCCGCTGCTGTTGTTGCTGCCGCTCCTGCACCTTTCGTTACTGCCACAAGTAGCCAATATGTTGCCCGTAACTACAATGGTATTGCCACCGCACCAGTTGTTGCTCCCGTTGCCGCCCCTATTGTAGCTAAGACTGTTGCTGCTCCAATTGTTGCCAAAACTTTCGCTGCCCCTGTCGCTGCTGCATACACCACCCCACTTGCCGCTGCCTACTCCGCCCCTGTTGTTGCCAAATACGCCGCCACCTATGCTGCTCCCTTCGCTTACTCCGCTCCCTTGACTTATGCTGCTGCTCCAGCTCCAGTTTTGTTTTAAACTTTGAGACTGACATAGATGCGAATTAAGAAATAAAACACCTATAATACTATTTAAATATTAGTTGTTTAATTTAATAGATAAATACGACTCTTAGAAGATGTATATTGGAAATAATTGATTATATAAATTTTGAAGTGGGAAAAGTATTAGAATGAGTTGACTGCTCTTGACTTCGTCTTCTTAATAGATCTGGATCTGTGATGTCCAAATTCTCGATCAAATCATTTCTTTATTGATAAAGTATAGAAAGCTCAATTTTTGAAATATATCTAAGTATTGAAGAACTATTGGGATGTCCACAATATGAATCAAGTTGTTTACTACCTTTAAGTGTTATCATGACCACCAGCCAGCAAGATAGACAGGTGAATGGACTATTGTAAATCATCTACCAAAGTTATGTACTAGTCGATGTACTACTATGTCCGTCTGAGTCAATTTATGCTTGTCCGTCGGTCTGTCTGTCCGAGTATGTTAAATTGTAAACAAAGTACAGGTCGCATTTATGATCCGAATTGGATTAAATTTGGCACATCTCATTTATTTACCCCAAGAACGAAACCTATTGAAATTGGAAAAAATCGGTTCAGATTTAGATATATCTCACATATATTTTTATACCCTTCATCACACTGTGGTACAGGGTATTATGTGTTTGTGCATATGTTTGTAACAGGCAAAAATATTCGAAATAGACCCATGGTTCCTTTTGAGAATGTGCATAGAATCACTTTCTGAGTCGATTTATGCATGTCCGTCTGTCTGCCCGTTCGTCTGTCCGTCCATGTATTTTTGTTAACAATGTATAGGTCGCATTTATGACCCTATTTGGATGAAATTTGGCACAGGTCACTTAATTGGCCCAAGGACGAACCCTATTGCAATTTGGAAAAATCGGTTCAGATTTAGATATAGCTCGCATATATATTTTCGTCCGATTTAAGATAAATGGTGTACCAAAGTCCCTATATATCCTTCGATTTGCGCGAAACTTGACATAGCGTAATGAATAGGGTCTAGAATGGTGTGTGTTAAATTTCTTCAATATCGAGTTCAGATTTAGATATAGCTCCTATATATATTTTCGTCCGATTTAATGTAAATGACGCACCAAAGTCCCTATATATATTTAGATTTGTACGAAATTTGGCACAGTGTACTAAATTAAGTCTAGAATAATCTGTGCTAATTTTCGTTCAGATTTAGATATAGCTTCCATATATATATATATATATATATACGGTTTAAGGTAAATGGTGCCCCAGATGCAGACATAGCTTCCATTTATATTTCTAACTGGTGTCTGATTCGGATTAAATTTTGAACAGTGCGGCATGCCGAATAGAGTGTAGCAATGTTACTTTAAATCGATTAGACCCATCGTACGTAAACGACTCAAAATATGCCCGAATGTAATTAACTTTAGCAGAGGTTGCAGAAAGGCATGTGTATGGATTGATGTTAGTCGGTTCACTTATAGATAAAGATCACATATTTAAGTTCGTTCAAACTGACATGAATTTGACGGTCCAGTCCGTCTTTACTACTTTCCTTGCTCGTTTTTAAGTGCTAACAATTTTAATGAGAATTTCCAGATCAAGTAAACATAATGCATTGTTCCAAGATTCAATCCAAAAAACACATTTTCAATATTTTTCACGTCGATCCCATTTTTGATTCATCGTAACATCTTTGTTTGCTTATTCCGATGTGTAGAGTTTGGTCAAATCGGATACTCACATTAGCTTCACTTTAAAGTGAAGTGAAGTGGACCGATAATCGTTTACATTCAACATGATCGAATTCACTGCTTTCTTCAAAATGTCGAAAATTTGGTGGGAGAGTTACCGGAAACATTGGACCGATAGTCTTTATTTTCGAACTTAATCTATCCGGTCACTTCTATACTCAAAATTTGTCCGTCTGACAAGGATTTGGTACAAAAACAATTATTTAAATACCCGATAGTTTGATGAGACACATTTTTGTCGTATAAAGTTGAGGGTAAGCCATAGCTTCACTTTTGGTCAGTTTTCACATTTTTGTTGAGGCCGGAACCATCTTTTTTAAAAACGTATTTAGTATTTCCATTTCGTAATCCGCAAAAAAGATTTGAAATAAAAAATCATATCATTTAAATATTATTGTATTTTTATTTCTTATTTCGTGTCTAATTCAGTCTCAAAGTTTTTAAAACAAAACTGGGGCTGGAGCAGCAGCATAAGTCAAGGGAGCAGAGTAAGCAAAGGGAGCAGCATAGGTGGCGGCGTATTTGGCAATAACTGGGGCAGAGTAGGCAGCGGCAACTGGGGTAGTGTAAGCAGCAGCGACTGGGGCAGCGAAAGTCTTGGCAACAATGGGAGCAGCAACAGTCTTAGCTACAATAGGGGCGGCAACAGGAGCAACAACTGGAGCGGTGGCAATACCATTGTAATTACGAGCAACATATTGGCTGCTGGTGGCAGTAACGAATGGAGCTGGGGCGGCGGCAACAACAGCAGCGGGTGCGGTATAAGCCAAAGGAGTAACCAAACCAGGCTTGGCGGCAGCGCAGGCAATCATGGCGAAGATAACAACGGCCTAATAAAGTTACAAATATTAATAAATCAGCACATTTGAATTTTCAACAAAAAGTTAACTTACGAATTTGAACATGTTGATAAGATTTAGTTTGTTGCGATTACTGTGAGAACACAAGAATATCTGATACCCTATTAGGTGATAAACTGAACTATTTATACTTAATTTTTTGTGTAGTATGAATTCCGTTATGTTTCATTCAATCGAATCATTTTAATTCACGTTTTGTGTACAATGTTCAGACATGACATTCATACAAACTACAATTATTTTAGTTTTGACACCTTGCGATATTAAAATTCACAACACATCAAACCGGGGACAAACATATGTAAATATGAGAAATGTCATGTGCATTGATCTCCGTTAATCTATAATGAAGGATTTGATAGCACAGTTATTCAAAGAGAAACTATTTTGTTGGACCAGCCAGGCTAAACATATTCACCTAATTATATTTTTGATCAATTTGAGCCGCTAGATAATGGGATCAGAAATATTATCATAATGTTTATAGGATTCTAGATAAGCATTAATAATCTGGCATACAACCAGAACCATGTTGAGGGGGAATTATATGTTTATTTTTGGAAGTGAACCAAGAACAGTTTTTCTTTGATTATGAAATTGTGAATGGTGTTTATGGTTCCGATACTGTAACAGCCAATTATGTGTAATTTTGGTTTTGTAGATTCCGTTCAGGAATTTTTGATGTTAAAGATGCACCACGCACAGTTAGCCCGGTCGAAAATGTCGATAAAAGTCGGAGAAATTATCGAAGTTGACCGGTCGCGAATGGGCCTGATAATATATAATTCGTTGTACCGGGCGTTGACTGTATCGTGGTTCCTTCCGTAATCTCTCTAATCAATTGTGATCATATTTTGATGAACATACATAGACCGATTTAGAAAGTCTTTCCACGTATATGCTTTACTCCACATATGTGAAAATTTGTATATAATTATCAACAGATATGCTCAACAAAAATTTAACTTTTCGTTGAAATGGTGCATTTACAGTAACGATGTATAATACTCCAAATTCTGTGATTTGAATATTAATTGAAGATATTTGATTGCTTCAAATAGCAAAACGTTTTCTACGTACAACCAGTGTAAACAAAAAGTAAAATAAAATATTTAAATTAAAGATGACAGCAATAATTCGAAATCAACATTTCAACTATAAATAATGTTGACCATTTCCGAAACTGGTATCAGATATTCTAGTGTTCTCACAGCAATCGCAACAAACCACAAATTATCAACATGTTCAAATTCGTAAGTTTAACATTTTGGAAATTTTATTGGAATGAATTGTTAAAATATCTTCATCGCCTTTTGTAGGTCGTTGTTATCTTCGCCATGATTGCCTGTGCTGCTGCCAAGCCTGGTTTGGTAACTCCTTTGGCTTATACCGCACCAGCTGCTGTTGTTGCTGCCGCCCCAGCTCCATTTGTGACTGCCACCAGTAGCCAATATGTTGCCCGTAACTACAATGGTATTGCCACTGCTCCAGTTGTGGCTCCCGTTGTCGCTAAGACTGTTGCTGCTCCCATTGTTGCCAAAACTTTCGCTGCCCCAGTCGCTGCTGCTTACACTACCCCAGTTGTTGCCAAATACGCCGCCACCTATGCTGCTCCTTTCGCTTACTCTGCTCCCTTGACATATGCTGCTGCTCCAGCCCCAGTTTTGTTTTAAAAACTTTGAGACTGAATTAAATACGATATAAGAAATAAACTATACTAAACTAATATTGAAACTATATATGTTTGTAATTATTATCGTAATGATGAACTAGATACATATATATTATATACATGCTAGATCTGTGGAACTCTATTTTATATATTTCCGGATGGGTGGTATATAAAATTCGACACTGTCGAAATAACTACTACTGTTACATTTTAATTTTTCAAAGGGTTTCGGTCAGGTCAGATTGGTTGCCGATGCTTTATTGACCTATCTTTTTAAATTTTTCCTAGGTCTGTGGAGTTGATGTTTCATTTATATCGAGGATTCATTTCGAACTTTATGACTTCTCAAAATATTATATTAAGCAAAGTTAGAACCTAGTCGGAACTCAATATGCTTCATATGAGATTACAAATTGTTCAGGAGTAAATTTATTGATCATAAATGAGTAATTTATTGCATTTGGTATAGCCTCGATATATCAGTGCCTCCACACATTCGACATTTTCGAGATTAAGGTCTCGTTATTCAACAAAAATTGACTATATATTTTCAATGTCACTTGGGGATACCCCAAATAACAGTTCACCTCATTATTCGGTATTTCGGGAACTTTTCTCAATCAGTTATTTACAGTTTTTGATCTCTCCTACAAAAAATTATCAACAATGTATAGACCCAATATAACGGTAACCGCAATTTTTGCTTTGAGATTTCAGACACGTTTCTCAACCGTCACGTATAAATTTCGGTATGTTTAAGGTCCTAGCAAAATATAAAAACTTTAGTATCTGTAACTTTTCTCCAGGCGGCAATTTAAATCCACGATATGGTGACGATTTTAAAAACTTCGGGTCAACTGAGTATGGATTGATTAAAGTCGCTTCAAATATAGATCACATATTTAATTTCGATCGATGTCTGAGGTTCACCAAATCCACTAAGTTTGTCCGATCGACTGTATGAACATTTTTTAGACTCGGTTTAAAATTTATTGTAGGTTATTATAAGCTTCGAAGATGTGGAGGATATCATATTGTCGGCACCGTTTCTATCCTTTGTAGTTTTATCAATATTACAAAAACGTCATTAAATAAACCAGTGAGCAAAGCAGTATAGTCGGACGGGACAACCATATGACATCCTACACAATTATCATGGAGATGTAACTGAGATGCGGATCTATTTTCCGAGCCTGAGCAATAAATGCACCCTCTTGAACGACTAGATGCCAAGAACTTATGTTTCTCACCCTGAAATTTAAATCATAAGATTCACATTTTCTTATTTTACACACATATGTATCGGCTCATGTGACCCCTAAATATTGACCGATCATTATTAAAACAACCATTCATGTACAATGTGTGATTTCCTCTAGACAGACTAGAAAACCTGCAAAAATTCATTATTCAGCCCATTTCATCCCCCTACATCCATATTTTCATCCCCCTAACATGATCCCAACCGGAACTTCATGAAAAATTCCATAGAAATCAGCGCTATATTCCGCCCTTTTTGTGTGGTAATGGGTTACTAAATAATATCAGAATATGTGGACATTTAAACGTTACTGACACATCCTAGTAGATACCTAACTATAATTAGCATCAATTTAAAGGTGAAAAACTCCTCTTGGATGTACCATCCACTTATCGGATATATTTCCTCCAGGAATAAATATATAGGCCATAGAATACATTCCCCATTTCATCCCCTAAATATCAACCGAGTATTACCAACAAATATAGGGATTTTCTTTGGCCAGAACCCGTTGTGTCTAGGAGGGTATAAATGGGAATATACAAACATCTCCATTAATAGTTGGGTGTCAATTAAAAATATTTCAATATTGTTCATTACGATTGTACTATTTAACGTACAACCTAAAACTAATTCCTATCAACACATTCAATATGGGTGGTATGTGTGAATCACAATATCAAACAAATTGGTGTAGGTCTTGAAATGAACCTATTAAGTATTCACCTCACAATGGCTTTATTTGTTTTTATTATGGACAACAACGACTTCAACAAAGGCAAACACAGAAGTACTATGAAAAATTGAAATTAAATATTTGACCATAAAAAGCATTTTCAAGAACATTTTTGAAGGGGTTTCTCCACGGAACAAAACAAAACAAAGAACGGTTTGGACCCTCGACAATTTTTTGCTATAAATAAGAAATCAAAAGCTGAGGTTACTATCAGTTATCAATTACTTGAAGACTAAAGCAAATCCAAACACCTAACAAAATGTTCAAATTCGTAAGTTAAAATCGGCATTTTAAATAAAATTAAGCAATTATTAATAATGATCTGATCATCCATATTTAGGCCGTTGTCCTTTTCGCCATGATTGCTTGCGCTGCCGCCAAGCCTGGTTTGGTTACCCCATTGGCCTACACTGCACCAGCTGCTGTTGTTGCTGCTGCCCCAGCACCCTTCGTTACTGCCACTAGCAGCCAATATGTTGCCCGTAACTACAATGGTATTGCCACAGCTCCAGTTGTTGCTCCCGTTGCCGCCCCTGTTGTAGCCAAGACTGTTGCCGCTCCCATTGTTGCCAAGACTTTCGCTGCCCCAGTCGCTGCTGCCTACACCACCCCAGTTGCTGCTGCTTACACTGCTCCCGTTGTAGCCAAATACGCTGCCACTTATGCTGCTCCTTTCGCCTACTCTGCTCCTTTGACTTATGCCGCCGCGGCTCCAGCACCAGTCTTCTTGTAAAATGTATCAACTGAAACGATCAAATCAATGACTCGAAATAAAAAAGAAATAATTTATTAAAACTAAAATTTACTTGTTTTTCTGTAACCTCTACTTCTAATCTTAAATGTCATTATGTCATTTTTATTCGAGGACTTCTATATAAATTTCAGGTATAACCATCAGTTGTTGTTGGCAGCGACCTGGAACAAGTAAAAACGTCTATCAATTCGGCCGAGCCGATTCTGTATTTTCAAAATTCCTTTAATCGTCCAGGGCCTTTACATGGGGACTATGTTATTGCTGCATATATTCTGAAAAAGTAATGTTTCAAATTGCAAACACTCGGTTTGAAATTTGAAAAAAAAAGGAATCTAAAACGTACCGAAAATTATGCGAAAATCTAACTTTGCGTTATTTGCACCCTCTTGAAACCTGACTAAAGGTCAACAAATATTACTAATATTCAGTAGACGATTGTCCAGATTCTCTTTATCGTGGGTTATGTTGTGGTGTTGGGATTTCAATTGTGGCCTAAAGATCAACTTAAAAAAAATATAATAATAATAAAAATACAAAATGTTAAGTTTTCGGTCCACTTCATCCCAAAATTATTATCTGATCATCACCGAGAGTTATAGGCGTTGTTCTTGACCATAACTGGAATCTCGTGGAAATTTTCAAAGCGATCAGCGCTATATTTCCGCCCTCTAGTGTGGTTTTGGGTTACTAAATAATGTCTGAATACGTAAGCACCTGTAAATATTTAAGTGTAGCTCCCACATCTGAGCACATACGACCATATAATTGGTATCAATTTAAAGGTCAACCACTCCTTTTGAAGATACTATCAACTTTTTGGGTCTAGGTCCTTCAGGGGCAAATTTATACGCCATAGAATACAAATTTTGTAATTTTTCACACAAAAGTCAAGGTTCATTTGACTCGCTAAATATTGAACGATCTTTATCAAAACAGGCATGCTTATTCTTTGGCCCGATCCCCTTCTCCATGCAAAAATTCGCGGTGTTTGGGCCATAATTGCGGCCTCTAGAGTGACCAGAAAATCAGACAAAAATAAAGTTTTTGGTCCATTTCATCCCCTAAATATTAACCAATCTTTTCCAAAAACAATAGGGGTTTTCATTGGCCAGAACCCATTCTACATGAAGATTGGCCCATAACTGTGGCCTGTATCGTGTTTACAAATTATAATGGACAGACGGACGGACAGACACTCATGTCTAGATCGACTCAGCTGGTCGAGATATGACGATCGATATACTTAAAGGTGGGTCTAGGACCAATATTTAGCGGCGTTACAAACTTTTGGGGCTGCACAAAGCTATAATACCCTGACAACATAGTTGTGTAGGGTATACAAATTATCCATATTGAATAATTTCTGAAAAGAAATGTTTTATTCACCAGATATACAATATGACTAGACTTTTAAAATACAATATACATAACTATCATTGTACTGTGACTTCTGCGGATCTATAGTAATACTAGACAATACTTTAATATGTGGGCCCATTAAACATCTTTTGACATGTCCACCCTATCCGAACTTTTCAACCGATTTGTTATTGGATTAAAAGTCCAAAGCTCATCTTACAAATTTAGGCCATAAGATGTAAAGTTTGTAATTTTACACTCAATATTTTTGGTCTCTTTGCCCCGCAATATGGTATTCCGTTGAGGATGACATTCAAAATATTTAAAATTAAAAAGGGGGTTCCTAGGAGAAAAATCATGTTATGATAGTACCTTTAAAATACTGAAAAATACCTGAGAAAAATATGATTTAAATGATCAATGTAACTAATAGTAGCACCACCATTATATACCAAAACTTAGACCGATATTTATATTTTGGTAGATTACAGTTAATTCTGTTAAAAAAAACGTGTCCAAAAATTTCCAAAATACCAACCTAGTTCAATATTAATAATTTTTATACAAGGATGTGCGGTACAATTAGACCCCAAAATACCAAATTACAGCATTTGAAAAACATGTCCAAAACTCCAAAAATACCGATTATTGAGCTTACCGTTATATGGGGGCTACCCTGAAACTTAAGTCAATAATTGTAATTTTTTGTAGTGAAATTTGACACCCAATGAAAACTTTAAATAAAAAATTGCACCCAATTCGGGTGAAAAGTGTGTCCAAAATACCGAATATTGTGTTATATGGGGGCTACCCTAAAACATAGGCCAATATTAATAATTTCAGTACGGAGATGTACGATTCAAATAGAACCCAAGTGCTAAATTACAACCAATCCAGATGAAAAACGCGTCCAAATCGGCCAAAGTTGGGGGGGGGATCCACACCAAAAGGTGGACCTATGTAAAAGGTTGTGATGTTGGGGTCATAATTGTGGCCTCTAGTACGACCAGAAATCCAATTCATTTGCTAAATATTAACCTATCATTATCAAATTTTTGCCAGAACCGGGCTTCAAAATTTCACGGCAATTGGGTTGCTCTTTACGAAGAATTATATATAGACCTACATGTCTATATCGATTCAGACAGTGGTATTATCGGTATACTAAAATATTGGTCTAGGTGAAATATAATATAACAATTGGCCGTGTTACAAAATCTCTGGGGTTACACTTGTAACATCCTCCCAAGGGAATACAAATCTACAGTCCTTGGAAAAGTATTTAAAAACTAAACTCTTTAGTACCTAATTATTCTAAAAGAACACGCCATTTTGCTTAATTATTCAAAAAAAAAAACTCGCATATAATCCCCAATTATTAAAAATAAAACTACTCCTATAACCCAGGGGTTATAAATAATTATTTATAACCCATGCCCCTGAAAAATATTGAAACAAATTTGACATCTTTAATAAATTAATAGTTTATTTCGGAACAGATCGAACACATTGAAGTCGAAAGAATTTACAAGAAGACAGGAGCTGGAGCAGCAGCGGCATAAGTCAAAGGTGCAGAGTAAGCAAAGGGAGCAGCATAAGTGGCAGCGTATTTGGCAACAACTGGAGCTGAGTAGGCAGCGGCAACAGGGGTGGTGTAAGCAGCAGCGACTGGGGCAGCAAAAGTCTTGGCAACAATGGGAGCGGCAACAGTCTTGGCTACAACAGGGGCAGCGACGGGAGCAACAATTGGAGCAGTGGCAATTCCATTGTAGTTACGGGCAACATACTGACTGCTGGTGGCAGTCACAAATGGAGCTGGGGCAGCAGCAACAACAGCTGCGGGGGCGGTGTAAGCCAAAGGAGTAACCAAACCAGGCTTGGCAGCAGCGCAAGCAATCATGGCGAAAAGGACAACAGCCTGTAACAAAAATATTGGTTAAGCATAAATTATGTTCCTTTTTTAAAAATTAAAACTACTTACGAATTTGAACATTTTGGTTTTTAGGTTTGTGTGTTTTTTGGACTTCAAGTGAGTGATAACTGATGGCATTACAATTACTTTGTCCATATTTATAGTATGGACAGTCAACTAATAAAAATGTCCCCGTATTTTTGGTCTGCCCTTCAAAAATGTTCTTGAATTTTTCTTTTTTTTAATGATCAATAAACTGAGTACTTTATTATTATTTTAAAATTGTTTGTTAGTATGTTGATGGTGGTAAATACAAGTAGCCATTTAACGTAAACAAAGCAGTTGTGTACGGCATTCGTAATATTAATACGAGCTGGTTAATTTAATATTCTGTTGGTTAAAGAGCTACACCAATTGAAATTTTGTTGTGTGCGTCGTGATTCACTTAATTGAGACATTGAGACTTCCCCTAAAAATAAACGGTAGCCTTAAGGGTGATTCTTGCTAGAATGTAGTTTATGTATTTATTTAATGTTTATTCTTTTTTCATGGAAATGGACTAAAATATTTGAATAAAATAACGGCACATCTGAAGAGGTTATTTTTACCTATAAATAATTTGATTACATATCGGAACAATCACATACTACAACTAAATCAATATGTTCAAATTTGTAAGTATTAGAATGCAGGAACAAAATTGAGGATTGAAAATAAATCACAAAATTTTAATCCTTTTTGTAGGCCGTTGTCCTTTTCGCCATCATTGCCTGTGCTGCTGCCAAGCCAGGTTTGGTTACACCCTTGGCTTATACCGCTCCAGCTGCTGTTGTTGCTGCCGCTCCTGCACCTTTCGTTACTGCTACCAGTAGCCAATATGTTGCCCGTAACTACAATGGTATTGCCACCGCCCCTGTTGTTGCCAAGACTTTCGCTGCCCCAGTCGCTGCTGCCTACACCACCCCTGTTGCTGCTGCTTACTCTGCCCCTGTGGTAGCCAAATACGCCGCCACATATGCTGCTCCTTTCGGCTACTCCGCTCCTTTGACTTATGCTGCTGCCCCAGCCCCTGTTTTCTTGTAAAACCAAAACCATTGGAAATGATCTCGAAATTAAAAAATAAATAAATCATATGTTTAAGTGAAAACTCAATTGAAGAACTTAATTGTCTTTTCATAATGAACAACTCGGATCTTCTAAGTCATATATTTCTATTTGTCGATATACCAAATGGTGACCCCGTTTATTCCAATATCAATAGCTAACAGTAGCAGGTAAAAACGTCGTTATCGATCGTTCGAGATCTTTACATGGACTTATGTCTTCTGGAATTGGCTAGAAAATTAAAGGAAAGGAGATATACACATGGTTCCTTTTGAGAATATGCATAGAATCACTTTCTGAGTCGATTTATGTACGTCCGTCTGTTGGTGTTAAATTGTAAACAAAGTACAGGTCGCATTTATAATCCGATTTGGATGAAATTTTGTACAGCTTATTTGTTTGGCCAAAGACGAACCCTATGGAAATTGGGGAATGCCGGTTTAGATTTAGATGTAGCTCCCATATATATTTTCGTCCGATTTTATGTAAATGGCGGGCCAAAGCCCCTGTATATCTTTCGATTTGCACGGAATTTGGCATAGCATTTTGAAAAAAGTCTACAACGATGTGTGCTAAGTTTCGTTAAAATCGGTTCAGATTCAGATACAACTCACTTATATATATTTCCGTCCGATTTAATAGAAATGATGCACCAGAGTCCCTAGATATCTTTCGATTTGCCCGAAATTTGGCACAGCGAACTCAATTGAGTATAGAATGATGTGTGCTAAGATTTAGATATAGCTCCCATTTGTATTTTCGATGGATTTTAGGTAAATGTTGTATCGGTTGACACGAAACGTATCAAATTGAGACCAGAATGACGTTATCTGTTTTTTAAATTTGTGCAGATTTACATTAATTTGTCCCAGTATACGCAAACGACTCTAAACTTGCAAGAATGAAATTAAATTTAGCAGGTTCCAGATCAAATATTCATGTTTGTTCAATGACATGTCAATGTTCTTTCGAAAAGGCGTTGCCTAGCGGAACCCAGGGCGCTTCGCTGCCTCTGTTGAACTTATCAAATTAAAATTTAGAAATGATCAATTAGTAAGCAGCTGCAATATTTACTAAATTTAATTTTAAAAAAATTAGGTAAACCCTGGTATTTTTATATGCTAGAACTACACTACAAAAAAGTGTGAAATGTCTACTTTGTAGTAGTTGTATAGTAGTTAGTAATAATTCGCTGTTTTCTGTAATGGTGGTAATTTTTGTTTTCTTGAAACACAATTTTTTCGCAAAGTAACAACAATCCAAAAATTATAATGTCAATACTTTTTATCAATTTTACACAATCGATGTATGGTGTATCTGAATTTATCGTTTTTTTTTTTTTTTTTTTTTTGAAATCCAAATAACATTTTATTCGATTTGTTCAAAATAAGCATGTTTTCACAAACTGACAAAAATTATAATGTCAACCAATTTTGTTTTTTAATTTTTACACAATTTCAACCAATTTATTTTAAATTTTACACAATTTCCCAGTGGAAAATAAAAGAGTATTTTCTACTGGGAAATTGTGTAAAATTTAAAATAAATTGGTTGAAAATTTATGGAATTGTCATTCATGACTAAACACATGATAAGTCGTCGAAAATGTCGTTCTTCTCGAAATAGGAAAACAAAACAAAAATATTCTGAATCGAGTGTACTATGAAATATTGACAGAAACAAATAGAATTTTTTTCTTATTATTTATTCAATATTGCCAATTTTTTAACATAGCTGAAGCGGAGGTTCACCCTTTTATAACTCGGGAATTACTTAAGTATATGAAAAAAAGTGAATAGTTTTGGGTTAATTGGTCTGTCGTTGCAAACTGCTCATGATATTGACCTCCAAACTTTATTTTGGTGGAAGCTGTGTCTAGTTTAATGTAAAAAAATGTGTAAAAACAGGTTGAGGCGAACCAGTTTTTTTATGTTCTCTATCGATTTGTGGTTAAGCCATACCAAAAACTAAAACTAGAAGCCAACAAAATGGGGACTACGCCCCTTATGTATTATTTTTCAAAATTTTAACTGCATCTACCTTTAAATGATGCTGACATTTTGATTAAGGGGATTAAGGGGACCCCCCCATTCTCGGGGTCAAAAATTTTGTTGATATAATTCGAATCTACACTAATTAAAGAATGTCCCTACAAAATTTCAAATGAAAATCTCAAGAAGTCTTGAAGATATAGCCGATTTATTGTGTCAGCATCAAGTGACGGCTGAAGGGCTTCTCAAACTTTAAACGCGTTTTTCTCTAAACATTTTTTTGCGAATGGCGGGCACGATAACTCAAAAACTAATAACCCAATCGATTTCAAATTTGTACACGTTTCTCTGTGAGTGTGTAGCTATCGTATAAACTAGGATAAAGCCAATCGGTGAAGATCTTCCTTATTTTTTGACTTGGGTTTTGGTAAAAAATTGGCGATTTTCAAAAAATATTTTTTCAACGGTCCACCATTTTGTTAATTTTAGAACGAAGTCAATGATCCTAGTTCATCAAGTGACGGCTGAAGGGCTTCTCAAACTTTAAACGCGTTTTTCTCTAAACATTTTTTTGCGAATGACGGGCACGATAACTCAAAAACTAATAACCCAATCGACTTCAAATTTTTACACGTTCGGCGATTTTCCAAAAATATTTTTTCAAAGGTCCACCAATTTGTTAATTTTAGAGCGAAGTCAATGATCCTAGTTCATACGAGAGCCAGACATGTAGTCTTTCTAACACCGTTGGAATTTTCGGATTCCGATGTTCCAGTGAGGAGTTATCATGCCCGCCATCGAAAATAGGGACTTTTCTATAATAAGGTTTTTTACGTTTCGGATGATATAAAATCTTCTTCGTGAAAATCCATCTACTAGAACGGCGGGAACTAGTCTTCCAAAAACACGAAATTTGGCAAAAATTCCGCTTCAATAAAAGACCTCATACGGATTTTGATCTTTTTCGAAAAGAGAACTTTAAAAACTTCAGCCGAAGGAGAGATGTACGCAATTTATCTCAAAAATAGATTGTGCTGGCACATCCATGGTTCTTATTTCGAGTTATTTTTTTAGGGTGCACACGGAAAGCGGATGCGCGTTAATGGCATATGGAGTTTTGGGAAATTATTCGCGTTTACGATTTTTTGGGTACTTCAATGTAACGCGTGGCACATCTTAGCCGTCAAATGAAATTTCGCAAAATATATATGGATTGGAAGATAAACTTCAGTACTTCCTGGAAACCGCATGCGCATCAAATGATTTTGAGAATTACGCAATTTACACGCAATTTAAAATGTATATTTCATAATATTATTTTATTTTAAGATTTATTCCTATTTATAGAATTCTAAGATTTATCGGAAGGGTCTTGATATAATCCGCAAGGCGTATACTTATACACAAAAAGTGATTATTATATATGTAAAATTTTCGGCGAAATTCGGGTAAAATAGCAGAATAACCCCAACACTTTTTGCTGAAATTTCTTGTATACAATTAAAAAAAATAAATATGATGACATTATTTTTTCGAACCAAAAACAACTATTTTTCCACAATATCTTGTTTTGTTGTCGCTTTGATTTAGAAACCGCTACACGGACTTGTGTGATTTTGATATCTTTTGATTCACCATGGTGTTTAGATTATGTAGATATTTTTAAATTAATTTTCAGGTGTGTGTATGTTATTAATATAATGAAAATATTGATGTAATCTGCCATTTTTTTATTTTTCTCATATTTCGCGAATATGTGCAACTTTATCGTGATTATTATAATATATTATATCAACGTTTTTGGTCAATATAATAAACGGCGTAATTTTAAGATTTTTTTCTTATGTCCAAAATTAAAACCAAACCAAAAATTTGATCGCGAACGGTTTCGGAGTCAGAACATTTTTCTCTATATGTGTACCAAAAATCATTGATGTGCCACAAAAACAAAAAGGCTGATTTTTTGAAAATGGAATATTAAAAAATTTGCAATATTGCCCATATGTATATAGATACACATTAAAAAGACAATATTTCTACGTTGGTGGTTCGTCAAATTTTTCGTTTATTTGTCATCAGAAGTTCGATTTAAAAGAAAGCTGGAGCAGCGGCATAAGTTAAAGGTGCAGAGTAAGCGAAAGGAGCAGCATAAGTGGCAGCGTATTTGGCAACAACTGGAGCAGAGTAAGCGGCAGCAACTGGGGTGGTGTAAGCAGCAGCGACTGGGGCGGCGAAAGTCTTAGCAACAAGGGGAGCAGCAACAGTTTTGGCTACAACAGGGGTGGCTACTGGAGCTACAACTGGGGAGGTGGCAATACCATTGTAGTTACGGGCAACATATTGGCTACTGGTGGCAGTAACGAAAGGTGCAGGGGCGGCAGCAACAACAGCAGCGGGAGCGGTGTAAGCCAAGGGAGTAACCAAACCAGGCTTGGCAGCAGCACAGGCAATGATAGCGAAGATGACAACGGCCTAAAATAAAGTACAGAATTTATTATTTTTTTAAATTTATTTGGCTGGCTATTGTTTTTTTTTCAACTTACGATTTTGAACATTTTGATTTGTTTTGTTTTTTATTTGTTTTTACTCTGAAATTTAGAGAATTTCTGATATCAAATCGTTGAACGATTTAACTATTTATAGTCAATTGCAAATGCTCAAAAATTATTTACAATAATACCGTTATTTTACTGTATTAATTTGCAATATACTGAAAGACAGAATTCGAATTTCAATGAGTATCAACGAAGTACATTTAAACGCTTTAGACACCTAACCGAAGTACATGATCCGAATGTGATAACTATAGCATAGCATTTTGTGTTTAGTTGGTATGTTTATGTATGTGTATCCTACACACATATACAGTGTATGTTAATCATATAATTAATTTATCGTAATTTTTGTTCTTGAAATTTTGAAAAAAAAAACCTTTCAATCGATTGTCATTGGATTTTTTTCGAATTCCAATCCAAAACAAGAATAGAA